TTCAACACTTTAAGAACGTCTCATTTTACCGCACAGGATGTAAACTCAATCAGACGCATGAAGACGACATGTCAGCAGGTTTTTTGGCGTCTGACCTCAGATTGGTGTCTGTCGCTCCTCATCTCCTCGCCGTCTGATTGGTGCTCATCTTGAACTGGAGTGCCGCCTCCGTCATCTGCAAAAACCCACAACATGTCACAAACACACTTCAACACATCACCGCCTGCAGAGAGTCTGAAGACCAGTCATTGATTTTATTTACAAAATGTCGCTCTGTTTCCATCCTCAAAGCCACCAAACCTCATTCACAAAACAGACATTTTAAAACTTTAAAAGATACAGTCTCTGTTCTTTCAATGAATAACATCTATTTCTAAAGACAGGTGTGTAGGAGAGGAAGTGCATCCATCAAAGATCGCAAGAATCCATCTGCACACTGTCTAAATGGAACAGAAACATCGGCAACGTTTAGGTATTTGTGCATTTAACGTGCAATGTTTGGTGATTAAAAACAAAGAATAAGCTCATATTTAATGCCTAAGATTTTTATTTTGTAGCTTTTTAGGATCAACAATATGTGTACAAGTTGACAAGTTAAAAATCTTGTTCTTTTAGAGGGAAAATTCAGCCCCACGGATCTTTTAGTCTCTGCGCCAAACTCTTTGAAAAACAAAAAGCATTTTCTGTTTCACGGGTAAATAGAGAATAAAGATAAATATATTAAAGTAATAAAATGTAAAGAGTTATCACTGAAGGAATTATCTTCAATTCAGCGTTCATTTCAAATCTTTAAATTAAACGTCTTTGTTTAAAATATGAGATTTTGAATCAAGTTTCCTGGTTGATGTTCTGCATCATGGAGCAGTTTAAACCATCAGGAGGAACATTAAACCCTGTCCCACATGAAGAGAGGAACATTAAACCCTGTCCTACATGAAGAGAGGAACATTAAACCCTGTCCTACATGAAGAGAGGAACATTAAACCCTGTCCTACATGAAGAGAGGAACATTAAACCCTGTCCTACATGAAGAGAGGAACATTAAACCCTGTCCCACATGAAGAGAGGAACATTAAACCCTGTCCACATGAAGAGAGGAACATTAAACCCTGTCCTACATGAAGAGGAACATTAAACCCTGTCCTACATGAAGAGAGGAACATTAAACCCTGTCCTACATGAAGAGGAACATTAAACCCTGTCCCACATGAAGAGAGGAACATTAAACCCTGTCCTACATGAAGAGAGGAACATTAAACCCTGTCCTACATGAAGAGAGGAACATTAAACCCTGTCCTACATGAAGAGAGGAACATTAAACCCTGTCCTACATGAAGAGAGGAACATTAAACCCTGTCCTACATGAAGAGAGGAACATTAAACCCTGTCCCACATGAAGAGAGGAACATTAAACCCTGTCCCACATGAAGAGAGGAACATTAAACCCTGTCCTACATGAAGAGGAACATTAAACCCTGTCCTACATGAAGAGAGGAACATTAAACCCTGTCCTACATGAAGAGGAACATTAAACCCTGTCCCACATGAAGAGAGGAACATTAAACCCTGTCCTACATGAAGAGAGGAACATTAAACCCTGTCCTACATGAAGAGAGGAACATTAAACCCTGTCCTACATGAAGAGAGGAACATTAAACCCTGTCCACATGAAGAGAGGAACATTAAACCCTGTCCACATGAAGAGAGGAACATTAAACCCTGTCCCACATGAAGAGAGGAACATTAAACCCTGTCCTACATGAAGAGGAACATTAAACCCTGTCCCACATGAAGAGAGGAACATTAAACCCTGTCCTACATGAAGAGAGGAACATTAAACCCTGTCCCACATGAAGAGGAACATTAAACCCTGTCCTACATGAAGAGAGGAACATTAAACCCTGTCCTACATGAAGAGAGGAACATTAAACCCTGTCCTACATGAAGAGAGGAACATTAAACCCTGTCCCACATGAAGAGGAACATTAAACCCTGTCCTACATGAAGAGGAACATTAAACCCTGTCCTACATGAAGAGAGGAACATTAAACCCTGTCCTACATGAAGAGAGGAACATTAAACCCTGTCCTACATGAAGAGAGGAACATTAAACCCTGTCCTACATGAAGAGAGGAACATTAAACCCTGTCCTACATGAAGAGAGGAACATTAAACCCTGTCCTACATGAAGAGGAACATTAAACCCTGTCCTACATGAAGAGAGGAACATTAAACCCTGTCCTACATGAAGAGAGGAACATTAAACCCTGTCCTACATGAAGAGAGGAACATTAAACCCTGTCCTACATGAAGAGAGGAACATTAAACCCTGTCCTACATGAAGAGAGGAACATTAAACCCTGTCCTACATGAAGAGAGGAACATTAAACCCTGTCCTACATGAAGAGAGGAACATTAAACCCTGTCCTACATGAAGAGAGGAACATTAAACCCTGTCCTACATGAAGAGAGGAACATTAAACCCTGTCCCACATGAAGAGAGGAACATTAAACCCTGTCCTACATGAAGAGAGGAACATTAAACCCTGTCCTACATGAAGAGAGGAACATTAAACCCTGTCCTACATGAAGAGAGGAACATTAAACCCTGTCACACATGAAGAGAGGAACATTAAACCCTGTCCACATGAAGAGGGAACATTAAACCCTGTCCCACATGAAGAGGAACATTAAACCCTGTCCTACATGAAGAGGAACATTAAACCCTGTCCTACATGAAGAGAGGAACATTAAACCCTGTCCTACATGAAGAGAGGAACATTAAACCCTGTCCTACATGAAGAGAGGAACATTAAACCCTGTCCCACATGAAGAGAGGAACATTAAACCCTGTCCCACATGAAGAGGAACATTAAACCCTGTCCCACATGAAGAGAGGAACATTAAACCCTGTCCTACATGAAGAGGAACATTAAACCCTGTCCTACATGAAGAGGAACATTAAACCCTGTCCCACATGAAGAGAGGAACATTAAACCCTGTCCTACATGAAGAGAGGAACATTAAACCCTGTCCCACATGAAGAGAGGAACATTAAACCCTGTCCTACATGAAGAGAGGAACATTAAACCCTGTCCCACATGAAGAGAGGAACATTAAACCCTGTCCTACATGAAGAGAGGAACATTAAACCCTGTCCCACATGAAGAGAGGAACATTAAACCCTGTCCTACATGAAGAGGAACATTAAACCCTGTCCTACATGAAGAGAGGAACATTAAACCCTGTCCTACATGAAGAGGAACATTAAACCCTGTCCTACATGAAGAGGAACATTAAACCCTGTCCTACATGAAGAGGAACATTAAACCCTGTCCCACATGAAGAGGAACATTAAACCCTGTCCCACATGAAGAGAGGAACATTAAACCCTGTCCTACATGAAGAGGAACATTAAACCCTGTCCCACATGAAGAGAGGAACATTAAACCCTGTCCTACATGAAGAGGAACATTAAACCCTGTCCTACATGAAGAGAGGAACATTAAACCCTGTCCTACATGAAGAGGAACATTAAACCCTGTCCTACATGAAGAGAGGAACATTAAACCCTGTCCTACATGAAGAGAGGAACATTAAACCCTGTCCCACATGAAGAGAGGAACATTAAACCCTGTCCCACATGAAGAGAGGAACATTAAACCCTGTCCTACATGAAGAGAGGAACATTAAACCCTGTCCTACATGAAGAGGAACATTAAACCCTGTCCTACATGAAGAGAGGAACATTAAACCCTGTCCTACATGAAGAGAGGAACATTAAACCCTGTCCTACATGAAGAGGAACATTAAACCCTGTCCTACATGAAGAGGAACATTAAACCCTGTCCTACATGAAGAGAGGAACATTAAACCCTGTCCTACATGAAGAGGAACATTAAACCCTGTCCTACATGAAGAGAGGAACATTAAACCCTGTCCCACATGAAGAGGAACATTAAACCCTGTCCTACATGAAGAGGAACATTAAACCCTGTCCTACATGAAGAGGAACATTAAACCCTGTCCTACATGAAGAGAGGAACATTAAACCCTGTCCTACATGAAGAGGAACATTAAACCCTGTCCCACATGAAGAGGAACATTAAACCCTGTCCTACATGAAGAGGAACATTAAACCCTGTCCTACATGAAGAGAGGAACATTAAACCCTGTCCTACATGAAGAGGAACATTAAACCCTGTCCTACATGAAGAGGAACATTAAACCCTGTCCTACATGAAGAGAGGAACATTAAACCCTGTCCTACATGAAGAGGAACATTAAACCCTGTCCTACATGTAGAGAGGAACATTAAACCCTGTCCTACATGAAGAGGAACATTAAACCCTGTCCTACATGAAGAGAGGAACATTAAACCCTGTCCCACATGAAGAGAGGAACATTAAACCCTGTCCTACATGAAGAGAGGAACATTAAACCCTGTCCTACATGAAGAGAGGAACATTAAACCCTGTCCTACATGAAGAGAGGAACATTAAACCCTGTCCTACATGAAGAGAGGAACATTAAACCCTGTCCTACATGAAGAGAGGAACATTAAACCCTGTCCTACATGAAGAGAGGAACATTAAACCCTGTCCTACATGAAGAGAGGAACATTAAACCCTGTCCCACATGAAGAGAGGAACATTAAACCCTGTCCCACATGAAGAGAGGAACATTAAACCCTGTCCTACATGAAGAGAGGAACATTAAACCCTGTCCTACATGAAGAGAGGAACATTAAACCCTGTCCTACATGAAGAGGAACATTAAACCCTGTCCTACATGAAGAGAGGAACATTAAACCCTGTCCTACATGAAGAGAGGAACATTAAACCCTGTCCTACATGAAGAGAGGAACATTAAACCCTGTCCTACATGAAGAGGAACATTAAACCCTGTCCTACATGAAGAGAGGAACATTAAACCCTGTCCTACATGAAGAGAGGAACATTAAACCCTGTCCTACATGAAGAGAGGAACATTAAACCCTGTCCTACATGAAGAGAGGAACATTAAACCCTGTCCCACATGAAGAGAGGAACATTAAACCCTGTCCCACATGAAGAGAGGAACATTAAACCCTGTCCTACATGAAGAGAGGAACATTAAACCCTGTCCCACATGAGAGGAACATTAAACCCTGTCCACATGAAGAGAGGAACATTAAACCCTGTCCCACATGAAGAGAGGAACATTAAACCCTGTCCTACATGAAGAGAGGAACATTAAACCCTGTCCACATGAAGAGAGGAACATTAAACCCTGTCCTACATGAAGAGAGGAACATTAAACCCTGTCCTACATGAAGAGAGGAACATTAAACCCTGTCCTACATGAAGAGAGGAACATTAAACCCTGTCCCACATGAAGAGAGGAACATTAAACCCTGTCCCACATGAAGAGAGGAACATTAAACCCTGTCCCACATGAAGAGAGGAACATTAACCCTGTCCTACATGAAGAGAGGAACATTAAACCCTGTCCCACATGAAGAGGAACATTAAACCCTGTCCCACATGAAGAGAGGAACATTAAACCCTGTCCCACATGAAGAGAGGAACATTAAACCCTGTCCTACATGAAGAGAGGAACATTAAACCCTGTCCCACATGAAGAGAGGAACATTAAACCCTGTCCTACATGAAGAGAGGAACATTAAACCCTGTCCTACATGAAGAGAGGAACATTAAACCCTGTCCTACATGAAGAGAGGAACATTAAACCCTGTCCTACATGAAGAGAGGAACATTAAACCTGTCCACATGAAGAAGGAACATTAAACCCTGTCCTACATGAAGAGAGGAACATTAAACCCTGTCCCACATGAAGAGAGGAACATTAAACCCTGTCCTACATGAAGAGAGGAACATTAAACCCTGTCCTACATGAAGAGAGGAACATTAAACCCTGTCCCACATGAAGAGAGGAACATTAAACCCTGTCCTACATGAAGAGGAACATTAAACCCTGTCCCACATGAAGAGAGGAACAAAGCGGGACCGTCCAGGTGTTATTTACCTGAGTGTCTCCCGGACAGGAAGTCGTCCTCCTCTCCGTCCATCCCTCTCTCACAGGAACACTTTGATGTGTTCACCACGCGGCTCTCTGTTCACTCAACGTAAATATCAAAGCGGGAAAACAGAAACCCGGCAGAGAGAAAAGCTAACACTAACAGCTAGCCACTGTAGCCCCGAAGATCCAAAATGGAGCGTCTGCCATCATATACGCATGCGCAAATGGAGTGTCGCCTTGAAACGACGTATTATCAAGCGTCGAAACAACTCAACGTTTTTTATTTATTCCCCTTGATGACAAAAAAACAAACAATTAAACTGTTGGACACAAAACAAATTGTTTAAAACAGCATATTTACACACAAAAAATAATATTTAACCGGAAATGAATATAAAACAACTTGAAACAAATCGAAATGAAATAAATTAACTTGAAATAAATAAATAAATAAAATAATAATAATATATAAACAATATATAAATAAAATAAATAATAATAATAATAAATTAATTAATAAAAACAAATATATAATTATTATTATTATTATTATTAATAATAATACATTTAATTAATTAATTAAATAAGCTTAAAATGTTTGGGTTTTAATGTAAATCTGGAGTTATTCAGAAGGATCAAAAGAGACTTAAATAACTTTCTAATTTAATTAAAAATATGTTTTTAATGTGAGTTTATAATAATAATATAATAATAATGACATGTTGATAATAAAGTAAAGAGGTTGATAACAGCGTCGTTTTTATTTTATATGTTTACATGTAAAATAAGTTTAAGAAAAGTTTGTAATTTCAATGATATTCGATTGTTTTGTTTTATCAATAAAGTTTAAACAAAACAAAAAAAACCTGCCGAGTGACGTCTTTCGCGCGCGACGCCAGTCCACAGAGGAACCACGCGTGTTTTTAGAAACAGTCCTGAGTCTCGTAGAGTCCTGGTTTCTGTGCAGTTTCCGGTCCATTTAACCCGGGTAAGATGGGGGACACGAGCCGCCTGTGCTCGGTGTGGCTCGGCTCAGAGACCGGCATCCTGAAGGGGGTCAGTCTGTCCCGGAAACAGGCCTTCAACTTCTGCAACACGAGCCACCTGAGCCGGGACCAGGAGGTCCGGGTTCTGTGCTGGGGCGACCCGGCTCAGAGCGAGCTGCTGGTGGGCTCCGTGGACGGAACCGTGAAGACCTTCAGCACCGAGAAGGGATCGTTCACGGAGAGCCGGCGCTGCGGGGGGCCGGAGGAGGGAGGCTTCACCGGACTGGAGGTTCTGGACGGGTCCACGTGGGTCACCTGCGGGGAGTGCGGGACTCTGCGGGTGTGTATGGACACGTCGACATCACACACACACACACACACACTCAACACACACACACACACACACACCACACACACACACACACACACACACTCAACACACACACACACACACACACACACACACACACACACACACACACACACACACACA